AGTTCGAAAAGCCACATCGAAACCTGCGGGCCGGCCGCGCATTAATTGCCCGAGATGACGCCCGCCCGCAGGGCGGGCATTTCCCCGCAGGCTCGCGCCTGCGCCTCCCCCGCGGCGAGTTTCGAAGAGCCACGTCGTAACCTGCAGGCCAGCCGCGAATTAATTCCTCGAAGTGACGATCGCCCGCAGGGCGGGCATTTCCCCGCGGGCTCGCGCCCGCGCCCCCCCCCCCCCCGCGACGAATTTCGAAACGCCTCTCTCGCGGCCCGCGAGCGGACCGCGAAGGAGTTTCTCGAAATGGCGCTCGCTGGCAGGGCGGACATTTTCCCAGCGGGCGCGCGCCTCTGCAATCGCCGCTGCGAAATTCGAGGAACTCCCTCGCGGCCTACAGGCTGGCCGCGAGCGCGAGCGCGTTTCTGGCAATGGCACCCGCCTGCGGGGAGGGAGTTCCCCGCAGGCGCGCGCGGCGAATGTCGAGAAACCCACTTTCGGCCTACAGGCTGGCAGCAAAGGAAGTTGTAAAAATGACACCCGCCAGCAGGGCGGTGTTTTCCCCGCCCGCGAAATTCCAGAAACTCGCTCGCGGCCGATAGGATGCTAGCGAGGGGCTCTCTCTTTCTTGGAAAGGACACCCGCCCGCGGGGCGGGATTTTCCCCGCGGGCGCGCGCCTCCGCCCCGCCCGTCCCCCCCCACCCCCCCAAGCAGCTTTGGCAGCGAGGGAATGTCATTTCGCCCGCCCAGTAGGCGCGCGCCTCCGCCCCCCCCGCGGCGGCGAAATTCTAGAAACTCCCTCGCGGTCCACGGGCTGGTCGCGAGGGAATTTCTCGAAATAAGCGCCGCCCGCAGGGCGGGATTTTCCCAGCGGGCGCGCGCGTCCGCCCTCGGCGAAGTTCGAAACACTTCCTCGCAGCCTACATGCTGGCCGTGGGAGAGGCTCTCGAAATGGCGCCCGCCCGCAGGGCGGGATTTTCTTCATAGGCGCGCGCCTCCGCCTCCCCCGCGGCGAAGTTCGAGGAACGCCTTTGCGGCCCACGGGTGGCCGCGAGGGACTTTCTCGAAATGGCGCCCGCCCGCAGTGCGGGGCTCTCCCCGCAGGCGGGCGCCTCTGCTTCCACCGCGGCGAAGTTCGAAACAACCCCCCTTGCGGCCTACATGCTGGCCGTGCTCGATATGGCACCCGTCCGCGCGGCGGACATTTCCCCGCGGGCGTGCGCCCCCGCCTCCCCCGTTGCGAATTTGAAGAATCTCTCTAGCGGCCTGCGCTGTGGCCGCGAAAGACTTTCTCGAACTGGCACCCGCCCGCAAGGCGGGAGTTCCCCCGCACGCGCGCGCCTCCGCAATCACCGCTGCGAAATTCGAGGAACTCCCTCGCGGCCTACAGGCTGGCCGCGAGCGCGTCTCTGGCAATGGCACCCGCCCGCGGGGAGGGAGTCCCCCGCGCGCGCGCGCCCCCGCCTCCCCCACCCCCCCCCGCGGCGAAGCTCGCGGCCTACAGGCTGGCCGCGAGGGAATTTCTCAAGTGGCTGGAACTCCCCGCAGGCGAGCGCCCGCCGCGGCGAAGTTCGAGAAACTCCCTCGCAGCCTAAAGGCTGGCCGCGAGGAAATTTCCCGAAATTGCCAGCAAGGCGGGATTCTCCCCGCAGGCGTGCGCCCCCGCCTCCCCCGCGGCGAATTTCGAGAAACTCACTCGCGGCCTACAAACTGGCCGCGAGGAGCTTTCTCGACATGGAATCCGCCCGCAGGGCGGGATTTTTCCCGCAGGCGCGCGCCTCCGCCTTCCAATCGGCAGAATTCGAGAAACTCACTCGCAGCCTACAGGCTGGCCGCGCGGGAACTTGTCGAAATGATTCGGCAGGTGCGCGCAGGGGACATTCTTCGAAACTCTGCTATGCGTACCCGCGTCTCCGCCAGAAGGGCATCGAGCAGCAAACGTCGGATTTGGACACGCACAAGCAAGTGTGAGGGGGGGATGGGTCTCAAACGTGAGTCTCGGCACGCGTGCGTTCGGTACGTTTTTTGTTTTGTTATTTGTTATGTGGTTCTGTCACGACGGGGCCGCATGGCGAGGGACCCAACTTAGCCCGCCGGAGTTGCTGATACGTAGAAAGACATATGCAGAAAGGGGGGACCCAACATGCGCCTGGCGCGCGTGCGGGGCACGTATTTTCACGTGTCCACGGCCCCCCGCGAGGGTCCCAACTTAGCCCGCCAGATTCTTTGCACTTAACTATGCGGAAGGGAAAATATGTCTGGCGCGTGCGCACGGGGCACGTACTTTCACGTGTCCACGGCCGCTGGCGAGGGACCCAACATGAGCCCTCCCGGCAAAGGTTCCGTCTCAGGGTTCTCTTTAATGTGCAAGCCAAGGACTCTCCACCAGAAAAGTGTCGTGTAAGTCGAATTGAAGACGTAAAAATACGTGTGCGGGGGTGGGGGTAACGCGCGTCCGGAGAAAGCTTGACTCAAGTTCTTTACCAGGTTCGTGGATCCCTCAAGTTTATGTATGTGAAGCTGGTGACGTGCTCTACGTTGGGCGATCCATGCTCTACTTTCTACGGCGAAGCGCCTGACCTGCCCGTCCGACGCGTTTGGCGATACGACGAGTAGCTACTGACATTGTTGGGTGGGGTCGGGGTAGGCAAGGACAGGAACAGCAGCACAAACAATAGCAAGACGGAGATGAAGAAATGGCGGAGGAGGAGGAAGAGGAGGAAAAAATGGCGGAGAAAGAAAAGGACGAGGCGACGGAATAATCAAAGTGGGGGGGGGGTGAACCGAACGGTCATTCAATGTCCCTGGGTGCGTGGCTGACACGGAATTCCGCGATGCGGATTATTGTTGTTGTTGCTGTTGTTGTTGTTGTTGTTGGTGTTGTTTGTTGTCGTTGTTGTTGCTGTTGTTGTTGGTGTTGTTGTTGTTGTTGGTGGTGGTGGTTGTTGGTTGTTGGTTGTTGGTTGTTGTTGGTTGTTTGTTGTCGTCGTCCCACCCGCGACCCGCTCCGCGACCCACCCGCGACCCGCTCCGCGACCCACCCGCGACCCACCCGCGACCCACCCCGCGACCCACCCGCGACCCACCCCGCGACCCACCCGCGACCCACCCGCGACCCACCCGCGACCCGCCCCGCGACCCGCCCGCGACCCACCCCGCGACCCCCCCGGCGACCCACCCGGCGACCCACCCGCGACCCACCCGCGACCCAACCCGCGACCCGCCCGCGACCCACCCGCGACCCTCCCGCGACCCACCCGCGACCCACCGCGACCCACCCGCGACCCACCCGCGACCCACCCCGCGACCCACACAAAAAATGTTCGGCGCCTGCGGCGGGTTTCTTTTGCATTCGTTCCAGGTGGAGAACCTGCGACCCACCCGCGACCCAAACCGCGTTCAGTGTACAAAAAAATTGTTTCGGCGCCTGCGGCGGACTGGTATTGAATTCCTTCCAGGTGGAAGTGGAGAACCCGCGACCCAAACTACGTTCACTGAACAAGCCAAAACTTCGGCGCCTGCGGCGGTTTTTTTTTGCATTCGCTCAGGTGCAGAACCTGCGACCCAAACCGCGTTCAGTGTTCAAATCAAAATGTTCGGCGCCTGCGGCGGGCTGTTTTAAATTTTCTTCCAGGTGGAGCTGGATAACCCGCGACCCACCCGCGACCCACACTACGTTCACTGAACAGGCCAAAAATTCGGCGCCTGCGGCGGGCTGTTTTTGAATGCGTTCCGGGTGGCCCACCAACGATCCCCCCGCGCTGAACTTGTCAGAGCACGCAAATCGGCGCCTGCGGCGGGCTTGCTCGCATTGGTTTGGGAAAGCGCCCCCGTGCCATTCCCCCGACCCGGCCCACGTTGACTCTACAACAGCACATCGGCGCCTGCGGCGGGGCTGTGTCTGAACGCGTTCATTGACAATCCAGCTACCTGCTGCGATTCGGCATCCGTGCCCAAAGCCTGGGTTCAGGGTACGCTGCCTCCAGGCGCCCACAACTAAGGGGCCTCGGGGCGCTCAAAAACCCTCCTGAGGGGGGAGCCCACGAACCCTACCACACAGCACGCCAGTGCCGCACAAGCGCGGCGGCGGATTTTGCATGCAGTCTAAGCCCCCCAAGACCTCTTCAAGCTCCGCTCATCCACACCAACCCATCCATCAACTTTACCCTGGCGAGCTGCCTGGACCAGAGAAGTCGGGGAGCATTCAGTGGAACAAAGGATTGGTTTGCCGTTTTCTTGAGAATGAAGGGCGAGGCAGAGGAGTAAACAGGGGACGAGGAGGACGCGGAAGAAGAGAGGATGTCAGGAGAATTTGGAGAAAGGGGAGGAGGAAGAGGAGGATGAGCAGGGCGAGGAGCAGGAGGAGGAAGACGACGACGAAGACGACGACGACGACGACGACGACGACGACGAGTACGACGAGTACGACGAGTACGAGGACGAAGAGGAGGCCGACGACGAGGGCGAGGAGGAAAAGGAGGGGGGGACGGAGGGGGGCGACGAGAAAGGAGGGAGGAGGAGGGGGAGGAGGAGGAGGAGGAGGAGGAGGAGGAGGAGGAGGAGGAGGAGGAGGACGACGACGACGACGGAAAGGAGGATGGGGGGAGGATCGGGATGGGGGAGGAAGAGGAGGAGCGCCAGTGCCCGCATGCGGTTCGTGGGAGGAGGAGGAGGAGGAGGAGGAGGAAGAAAAGGAGGAAGAGGAGGAGGTGGAGGAGGAGGCGGACAACGACGACGACGACGACGACGACGACGATGACGACGATGACGACGACGATTAGGACGAGGACGTGGACGAGGAAGAGGAGGAGGAGGAGGAGCAGGAGGAGGAGGAGGGCGCCATCGACAGGGAAGGTGAGGGCCACGAGGTCCGCCCGCTCGACGCCCGCGTCGTCCGCGCCCGCCCCCTCACTCTTACCCGCAATTGCGGGGTGCTGCGTAAAAACAACAATTTCCACATATTGATGGAGCATGCGGCCATGCAGCCGCGAGCACGAGCGCGTGCGGCCTCTCGGCATCGGCCAGCTTCGCCTTCAGCTGCCTCCTGACCTCCTTGGCGCCTGGCTCCTCCTTGCCTTGCGCAGGGTCAGGGAGGGAATGGGGAGGATGGGGAGGGAGGACACGAGGAGGATGAGGATGAGGATGAGGATGAGGAGGATAAGGAGGAGGAGGAGGAGGAGGAGGAGGAGGAGGACAACGGAAGGAGGAAGATGGAGGCGGACGGAGGAGGTGGAGGAGGAGAAGGAGGCAGGACGGAGGAGGAAGAGCAGGGTGGGGGAGGATGAGCAGGAGGCAGGAGGGAGGAGGAGGATGTCCGCTCTCGGCAAAACCACGGCACGCACCTACCGGGCAGCAGCGGGGGCCGTCTGGCGCCTCAAGGTGGTCTGGGAACACTGCCGACGCCGTGCCTGACGCGACCGGGGGGGGGGGGCCAGCACCTGGGCAAACGCCACTGCTGCCCCCGACAAAACACAACACAAAGGCTGGGGGGTATGGCGCAGCCCACGCGGGGCCAGCCGCGAAGCCGCCGGAGCGCGGGCCACATGCGGAGGGCGCGCTCCAGGGGCCAGCACCTGGGTAAGCGCCGCTGGGACCTCGGGGACCTTCCGACCCGGGCCAACCCAGACCCGGGTCAGCAGGGCCCTGCAGGATCCTGCGGGAGCCCAACAGGTCCTGCGCCCAAGCCTGGGTCAGTGCGTCCCTAGCGCTGCAGGATCCTGCAACATCCGGCGCTCTGGCGGACCCCCGTTTGCATTGACCCCCGTCTCCTGAGCCCCGAGGACCTCCAGACCGCCCACCGCCGGCCCCATCACACGGCGGCGGGCCCCCTGCAAAGAGATTTCCACCCTGGGGTTTCGGACTCCCCCGTGTTACGTCACTCCCGCCACACACTTGTGGAACCGATCTCGAAACCGATCTTCAAGGACAACCCCCCTGAAAATAACAACGACATTTTCGCTAAACCGGTAACCCTCCGACTACGAACTTTTGACATCGGCCGAAACTCGATAGACTAACCGCGCGGCATACTTTGTCAAACAACTCAAAAACAAGGAACAAACCGAAAGGTCTAAATCAACAAAACGTCAACGAGTCAACACTTGTTTTGTCTTCAAGCTCAAGCAGAAATATGCTTTTGCGATCGAGGGCCATGGATTCAAACGCGTTCGTATCCACTGTGCTGTAGTTTCAGCGCGCGCATACATGGTTCCAAACACGCTTCTTTCTGACGTCCTTTTGCGTGTTCTAATGGTAACCGCGCGAGTAAGAATTATAATGTACGCCTTCACTCAATGCGACTCTGGCTCAGATCTCAAAACTTACACTGGCTTACGCAGTTTCGCTCGTCACATAGGCCAATAAAACTCGAAACACACTCCGCAACTGCGAAACTCAAATCAAGCAATTCGCACAAAACTCTCGGAGAAACCGCGAGCCGCGAGAGAGGCCAGGGGAGGTCCACCTGCCCGTTCACGGGGCCACGACCCACAACAGAGGCCCATCCTGAGGGGTTCGACGGTGCGCCAATCGTCGTCGTGCAACCGCCGCGCAAAATTTGATAACGCTGGGCTGCCCTGAAGGGTTGAACGGCGCCCGCCAACAAAATTCGACAACGAAATCTTGGATCCGACGATCACCCCAGTCCCGCAGCGACTGCCAGGACTGATCGTGTCACCTGAGCTGAGACGGCCGGGGACCTCCAGCCACACCTTGTGTCCAGGTCCCCACCATCCAGAAAGGCGGGGTGAGGAGGATAAGGAGAAGGAGGAGGAGGAGGAGGAGGAGGAAGAGGAGGAGGAGGAGGACGGCCAGTGCAAATCCAAGACGCATCAACGATGATACAAGAAACCCTCTCTTCAAATTCCCTCTTCATAGGTCCCTACAGCAATTGAATTTCATTGCGGGGAATGCCCCACCGAAAGACAACCGTATGAGAATCCGCAATCGTGCCAAAGCGTAATGCCTGGGACCTCAACGCCGCGAGTCAATGTGACTGCTGCGTCAGGAGAACCCTAGATATGGCCAGCACACAATTCCTTGGATTCCAACCACTGCGAATCGCTGTGACTGATGCCTGGCAATGCAAAATCGTGCCATGCACACATCTTCGTATTTCAGCCCTATGAGCAAAGCAAAATCCAACTTGTGAAGAGGACCCGCCCTCCACTATTGAAACTGTTGCAGACATAATCATGGGATTCAGAACGGAATTGCGCGGCGCTGAGGCGAAAGCGACATTTTGAAGACAAAAGCTGCTGCACATTTCGAGCTTCAGGATCGTCAATGATCATGAAATTTCAGGCGAAGCGACCAGCCCGCTCTACCAACACGTCTGGGGGTGTGACAATGGATTATTTATGAGGGGAGGCATGGAGGAAGAGGAGGAGGAGGGGTAGGAGCAGGAGACGAGGCGGAAGAGGAGTGAGGAGAGGGGACGCAGAGAATGAGGAGAAGAAGCAAGAGAAGGGGAGGCGGGAGGAGGGGGGGGGGAAACTCCGTCCCCCTCTCATTCCCGCTCCTGTTCGGCAAGGCAATCGAGCATACGTCAATACCACCTTGATGCTCGTCGGGAATAGAAGCGGTGCACGGCGCTGCCTCCGAGCCACGGGGCCTCGTGTGCTTGTAGAGAACACCCGCCGGCCACGTGCGCACTGAGCCAGTGCCATCGTAGTGTGCCGCTGCCCTCAAGCTGGCGATGAAACTCTGGGCGGCCTGAGCTCGCTGGTCCCGCGAGCCCTTCCATGCCTACACGTCGTTCACTTCTAATCGTGTTCATTTCTAATTGCGCTCGTTTCTAATTCTTCCTGGCCCCCAAGCAGCCAGGAAGAGGCCCAGGATAGAACAATTAGAACTGAAAGGATCTTGGCCCCCAAAAAAACAAAGAACTTTCGAATACTTAGAAATGAACAGTGTGTATGCTGATCGGCAGTGTCTCAAGCAAGCGTCTGCGCGTAGATATGTTCGCCAGCTTCCTCAAGGTGCCATCTCCAATCTCATTGGGATCAATCCTCGGGCCTCAGTCGTAATGCCACGCGCGCCAACTCTCTGCAGTCCACCCCGGCCTTCTCAAGGTCATGAGAACGACTCCTGCAGGCCCTTGTGCCGACTTCCACGCCCTAGCGTTATTCTGCGCGCGCGTGAATGCTGGCGCCGTCGCCCGCGCTCTATCCCAATCCCTCCACTTTGCTTTGGGCCAATGCGCGACCGAGTATTCATCTGCCGTGCAAGTGGGATCCGAGCGAGGGCAATGCGATGTCAGGAATTTCATAATACTGCGCATGCCGCGCGCCGTACCAACCTGCGCAAGTCCTGATTGAGCTCTGACCTTCTGCAGCTGGTCGTCGTTCACGCCCTGCACCTTGACCGCGCGTGCAACAGAGGCTAGCCCACCGCTTCTGACCAGCTTGCCCATCTGTCCCCCTCCTTGCGCTCACTGCCGCCATGGCCCAGTCCTCCTCCCAGCGCCACTCAGAATGCAACCGGTCGGAAAGCGCAAACCAAGCGTCGCCCACGCGTGGGCTCTTGCCCCTCAAGTTGCCGAGAGTGCCGCGTCTTTGCTGCGCAATCTGCGAATCATGCTCACGATTCCTTCTCAAAGCGCGCGCGAGGTCCATGAGGGCCGCGGGCGATCGCCTCCAACAGTTCGACAACGAGTCTCCTTCAGCTCCGCGCGGGGGGGGTTCGTGGCTGGTGCTGACAGCTTGCACTGAAGGTCCGTGAGTTTGCTGCGCCCACTGGAAGCAGGCCTCTCGCATCAGGTAGCTCGAAACGATCGCCCAGCTCCTTCTCAGCGCGGTCCGACCATTTCCCAGAACTCAACGCAGATCACTGGCATATTGTGCATGAGCATACTCCTGCAGCACCTGCTCTGAGTCCGAAGGCTGTTTCGGAGCGCCTGTTGGGCACTCCTTGGGGTACCTAGTCGGGGTATTCAGACGATGCTCCATCGCTGCTGCTGGTCCCGCCTCCAGCTCAAATGCGACCCCCCAACGCGTTGCCAAACTAAGTCCTTCTAGCCCGTTTACTCCGATGACAAGGCTCTTGACATGCTTCGACATGACATAGTAATCAATCATCCGTCCTCTTCTAGCCGAGCATGCCTACTCGGCGAGCGCTGCAATCGTGTCTGGGGCATCTTTCGTCACGTTCAGCTCCTCAGGCCCAAGCGGACTCATGTTCCAGTCGCCTCCTATGATGAACGGGCACCCTGTCCCCTTGAGCTGCTCGGCACCTGCAAGATGACGTGCCTGTCCCTGTCCAAGGCAGATCGGGCTCAGCAAGGGACCTCCAGGAAATATGCCCTCAAACCACTGAATAGCCCATCTCGAACTCGGCGGGTGCGCACCCCCCCCAAATCTGGCGAATCTGAGGAGCCTATGTGGTTCCTCACTCTTACACCGACTCCCGGCGAGGCCACATGCTGTCCCCGGCATTGCCGATCTGGTGTGCCAGCCCTGGTGTCGCAGTCGGGCCACTGCAACTCCAACGGCTGCCTTCCACATATTGTGCTCCTGAACGAGTAGCGCGCCCACCTCCGCTCCCGTCTCGCTGAACTCCTTGGCAATCGTCGAGGGCATGGCCGCGTCTTTGTGTGCAGTCGTGATGTCTGTGGTCACGATGTTCCACCTCCTGAGTTCCACCTCCTGAACTTGGTAGCGTTCACCTGGTCAGGACCAGCCTGTTCCACACCTCTTGCACTCCTTCTGTGCGCCGAGGACTTCCCGCAGAACCTGCGCCGCTGAACCCCTTTGCGGGGGCAATCCTGACATACTCCCAAGCTTGTCTGGCAAACACGTGGTGCCCGACGAGCCCTCCGAAGGGGGCGATCCTGACCACTCGAGCCTGCCACCTGGGCTCAAGGGGCACCCAGCTGGCTGGCTGCAGTGTAGTAGGCAAGGGCGCCGTACCTCAACCCGAAACCATTACCTGGGACGCCCTCTGAGTTGAAACCTCCACCAAGAGACATCATCCACATGTCCAAGAGACCCCATCTGGGCAGCAAGCGTTGACGTGACGGCGTCAACTGTCTGGACCAGGTGACCCCAGCTCCAGCCGAGACGTCCTTCCTCCGGCT